CTTCTTGAGCATGTGATCAGCTGGTTTTGGTTGTCAGCAGCAAAACTGGTTGATCCACTCTGAGACGGTGCTATTTAAGAGACTGAGCTGAATACAGCTCCTCAGACTGAGGAAGTTTCTCGGATGAGAGACGAAACGTTTCTACATTTTTTTGTTGATTTGCTTTGTTTAGTTTTTTTGAATGTCCAGAGGACCAGATTTAACTTTTTTAGATTTTTCTACCTGGATTATTGAGCATGCATCAGGATAAAAGATCTGTTAGTGCTCAGAATATGTTTTGGGGATCTTTTTCAGCTACGACTATGCCAAATGTTAGCTCAATATCTGTAAAATTGACTGGTACATTGAAATAACACTTAGTGCAAGTTTAATAAAAAATCGTCTAGTGGATCTTGAGATATTTTGGTAACAAACACACAAAACCTTAGAACTATAAAACATTATAACTATTGGCATTGATGATTTTTCTTTTCCTCAACTCAAATTTATAATAACGAGGAGGCCTTTAAAACCTGAAAGTTAAACTAAAAACAGAAGCAGTTTGCAAAAACATTTGCATCAGAGTTATAGAATTGTGTGGCTCAAGGTGGCTGCATATTAGAGCAGCTCTATCATTCTGGGATGTTGCTTTGGAAAACTGCGATTCCTTTTTTCTGGATGCAAATCACCTTTTTTGGATGATTATTTCCTCTGATATTGGATGATGTGCAGCTGGAAGGATTTTTACTGAATTTTTGTTGATTTTAATGAGTTGAAGAGGAGGCACCGTGGATGAATTCCCGTCAACCTGGCGGCGGTGCTCGAGTACCTGACTCGTGACAACATTGGGAGGACTGGGATTGTCCCCCGGCACATTCAGCTGTCTGTCCGTGGTGATGAGGACCTCGGCAGACTGCTGGGAGGAGTGACCATCACTCAGGGAGGAATTCTGCCTGGCTTTTGGGCAGTCCTGATGCCCAGGAGGACCGAGAGGCCCACTGGGTCTGACAGCAAGCTGGATCCGGGTGGATGGATTGGTATCTGTGGCCAGATTTTTCGGATTTGCTGCAGTAGATCCTTTCTGCCCACAGCTATTAGCATCTACTCTTGAATGAAACCAGGATGATAAGCTATGACAGCACTTAATTTCACTTTGGGCTTAATAAAGTATTTTGAATTTTGGATATTTGTTATGATGTGTAACCATGGCAACACGGTGTTTTTACAACTGGGAGCAGCTGATTAACATCTCAAAAGCTCAAATAATGTCTCAGCTACAGCCCCAAATCACAAATGAGTTTAAAATGAGGTTCCATGGATGCATCCCTGTCTATCTGGCAGAGGTGCTTGAGTACCTGACTGCCGAGATCTTAGAGCTGGTGGGAAACGCAGGTCGTGACTACAAGAAGACCAAGATAATCCCCTGATACCTGCTGTCTGTCCGCAATTACAAGAAGCTCAACAAGTTGCTGGGAGGAGTGACCATTGCTCAGGGAGGAGTTCTGCCCAACATTCAGGTGGTCCTGCTTTCCAGAAAGACTGAGAAACCCACCAAGTCCAAATAGATGTATCAACATCTGCAAACAGTGTCTTCAGATCTGCTGTAAGACAGACAAGAGATCCTTCCTGTTCACAACCATCAGCATCTATAACAACTCTTTGATGAAACCAGGGTGATGAGTTACAACATTTATATTCCCCTTGGGATTAATAAAGTATTTTTGAATTGAATCAGATTGATAACAAATGCATATTGTAAATACATATTAATTTGTTTGCATTTCTGTGCCAACTTATTGCACATTTGCACGTGTGACAATATGGTTGCGTTCAGTATTTACATTTCCAAACTCTGCCCAAGTTTTATCCTTTCACTGCTACATGTCTCACACTTCTCACAAGCTTTTAAGTTATCTAACATCTCACAATGAACCGTTATAACGCCTGGAACATTTGTGATGCCCACCTGTACAGCTGCAGCATCCACTTATACAAATTATACTCAAATCACCTACAGAAGGAGAAAGGCCAGCAGTTTGGAGGTGGTTTTTCCTGCACTGTCTTTCAACCTCTCATCCCCGCAATGCTGCAGATAAAACCACAAATTTATTTGTCTCAGTGGGAGCACAGCGTGCACAAAATCTAGTAATGAGGCAGAAGTGATGCTTTTTGTTTCTAGTTCAGATGTTTTCTGTTAAAACAGAAGTTCAGAAGGTAACCCTGTCCTAAAACAAACTAAGCTGCCCTGATCTGTCATTCACGATCTTCCTTGATAAGATTGTAGCACCCATCTCCATTAATAGAACCTGCATGTTTACAAAAATATCTTATGAACCATGGGAAAGATTTGAATCTGTCATCTAGAAACTCATTGGGTGTACATCTGATCCAAGACGGCTGAAGAACTATGAAGCTGTGATGATGATAAATAAGAAATATACCTAGAATTCCATTCTTCATTTAGTGGTTTAGTTTATATTAGCAAAAGGAGGTTGAAGCAACTTTTTGTCCAATAAAAGCAATCTTAATTGTCCTTCAATTGGTCAAATTCAAATCAAATTAATTTATACAACACATTTAAAAACAACTGGTGTTGGTCAAAATACTGCACATAAAACAAACAGTGAGAAGACAATACAACAACAGGAGACCATAAAAACATAGAAGAAAAAAATTAATAAGAGATAAAAAAAAACCACATAAAAACAATAAAAAAAGGCAGTGAATAAATAAATAAATAAAAAGCCATCTCTCATGCTGTTTTAAAAGCCAGTGAGTACAAAGGTGCTTTAAGATGAGATTTAAAAACACCAAATGTTGAAGCCTGTCTGAATATGAAGAGGCAGCTGGTTCCACAATTAAGATGCTACAAGATGCTGGTGAAGATTCTCAGTCATCCAGGACATGGTAAATAAAAAAAATAGACAGATGGTTTGAGAGGGGGGTGACGGAAGCAATTTATGTAAAACGAGAGAAACCATCTTTAAACAGAGGAGGAGGTCTCAGATTTCAACTTTAAAAAACTTATAATGCAGCTTTAGCACTGATACCCAACCAGTTTCACACCTGTCAGGAATGTCATCCATGTGACGAGAGTGGCCCTACTTTGAATTAGATTAACCTTAATGAACCCCTACTGTGAGGTGTGATAGATCAATCTGCATGTGCGTATGCATTTTACCTCAGCTTTATAACTCAAACCCCTCACTCCCTGTTCTTTGAATTGAGAAAGCTTCTCGGATGAGAAATGAAGCATCTTCTGTTACAAATAAAGTCCAGTTGTTTTTGTCTTGAACTTTTTTTTAAGATGCTACAAGTGAGTGAAAAAGGCCAATCACCTCTGTGGACCAGCTTGGACTGTGAGACAGCCAAAAATAAAGAAGCACTTTGGTTTTCTCTGGGAACAAAAATGATGACTTCAGTTTTATCCTTTTTAAAATCCAGGAAATTTCAAGTCATCCAAGCCTTTACCTCAGAGAGGCAGTCAAGCAGGGGTTTCAGAGAAATAGAATGATTTTGCTTCAACTGAAAGTAGACCTGCGTGTTGTCATAAGAATGAAAATAAATGTGGAATTATCTAAAAATGCAGCCTAAAGGTAGCACATAAATGGAAAATAATATGGGTCCAAGAATAGAACCATGGGGTACTCCACATAAGGGAGGCAGAGGAGGAGACAGATTATCTGAGGCTTATGCAGTCCTTAAGGTGCAAATTATTATTTTTAACAAACTCTTGGATAGTTTGTTTATAACTTATGTAGTTGATATGAATGATATGCATTTTTTGTACTTATGTACAAAACAATCTGCTGAATTGATACATCAGAACATACAACATACAATAGTTTTTGTTTATTTCACCATGCAAATCACAACGAAGGCCTGGGTCTGAAGGCAACCTAAACATGTTGAAAGTTTTGGACTATGACAGAAAACTGGAATACCTGGAGAAAACCCACATGGCCATGAGGAGAACCAGGATTGATCCGTGTATTGCACCAGAATTTTTTTAGCTGTGAGGCAACAATGCTAATCTACTAATCCACATTTTGTTCCAAGGGAAAACACTGAACGTACCAGTAGCATAATCTGATCACTTATCAAAAATCCTTTGCTGAACGTTCCATGGTAAATTTGGCATAATAAAAGAAAATGATTAAATATATAAATACAACCATTTTAGCTATAAATGTGCATTTATTTTATGTTTTTAACAAACTTTAAAATCAGAAATAATAACATAGACAAAGAAAAAAAAAACTACTATATATAATGATTTTTTTTAGCCATTTGTAGGTTATAATATTTTAATTAAAACTGTATTTTTTATTAAATAGTCAAAATTTTCATATTTTGCATAATATGCTTACATTTAACTTAGAAAATTAGGTGATATACAATTAATATGTAATGATTCACAGAAAGATTGAACAAGAAACTGAGACAAATGAAAGCTGAAGAAAACAGAAGGTACTGTATCTAGGTAGAAGATATCATTTAAAACTGTATTTAGAGCAGAAATTATTCATTCAGACCTGGTTTTATTATAAAAATACATGATTTTATAGTTAGTTTTCAGCAACAAGACACTGCAGTAAAAAACAACAACAAAAAACCTCATGAAGAATTAAGACCTCATTCTGTTTTCTATAAATTAGGTTTTCCAAACAATGAAACTATTAATGTAAAGTAGAAAATTTAAGGATGTTTGATTTCTCTGCACAAAACCCACTTAAATCAGAGAAATCATTATTAAGTTTAGGTTTCTTAGCAACTAAAGCAACAGAGTTTTATGTGCCACAAGCTTTGAGCTGGAGCCTTTTTCTCAGGTAAAGTGCTACTTATGAGTTATTTACTCTAAATATGGACTTCATTTTAAGTAATAGTTCTGAGAAAAACCAGAATAGGACAAGACTTTTATTCTAGAATAGTTTATTGCAGGTTTTCAGGAGTTTGTCTTCATTTTTGTCTGAAGAGTTTGTTCTGAGTGTTTAAATTACATGATTTGATCATTTTCATATAATCAGCTCATATGATTTTATGTTTGTTTTCACTTCCAGTTGCAAATGAAGATGTTGGGAACACCCAGGGCTCCAGAGGTGAGACAGGAGGAAGGAGCCACAGTCAGATCAATCTCTTCAGCAAAGAAATTATGCTGGCAAAGAGCAGACCAAACCTCGGCGCCTTGGGTCACCCCTCGCTTTTCTCCCACCTCAACCCACACATTCAAGATGAGCGCTGGACCAGAACAAATTCATCTTTTCATTGCAAAGCATGTTGTGCATCAAGATGTCCATGTTTCACACAAGGATTTTAGCTTAAAAGTCTGGTGGAGGATGATATGTATTCCTCTGAGAAATGCTGTTTCTTTAATTATAAATTGTTTACAGGCAACTAAAACCTAATTAAACAGCAAAAACTGAATTTATGCTTCCCTTCATAACATTTGATTCATTTAAGCATTTATTACTTTATTCTACGACATATTACAGCTCATTAACGTGAGCTGCAGAAGGAAAATCAATATTCAGATCCCTTAATTTAAAACTCCAAATCTTATTAAAAAAAAAAAAAAATTACTCAGCAAGTACAATAACATCAACATACATATATTAAGGAATCAACTGCCTTGGATATTTAGAGTGTTTTAAATATAATAAAGTCAAAATAAGCCTTTAGGCTATTTATATTTGATTGCTGTATATTTCAGTTTATTGTTTATTTTACTCTTTTAAATTAACTAATATTTTTTTAACAAAAATATGAATTTTGAAGCGGCAATGTCTTGGCTTTTGTCTAAAAACAGCTCCTAAGGTGTCTCATCCAGCAATATTACTTGAAGGGTTGTATTATTGACAAAGATCTAGGCAGTATTTGGTCGACTTCGACCACTTTTATTTCTTTAGAGTATTTCTTTTATTGCCCTACATGTCCGAACTGAAAACTGAACCATAGCTGTTTTTTGTAAAATTTACTTCACAGTTTTTTGTATTCAGTATTTCTCTGCTGTCGATAAATAAAAGTATAAAACCTGATTTAGATGGATGGAATAATGACCCAAGTTTGGTGCCTTCACAGACCCTTTCCTTTCCAAATTCCTCCCCCCAAACCCTTCTTATTATTTTTTAAAATTTATTTAAGTCCATGCAACCTGCTTGTACTCATTTATTTTTAAGATTACACCGTTAGTAAAGCAAAAGCTCCATCCTGATCATACATAAGACACTGTTTTATTAATGGAGATACCAATGGAGGCAACAACATTAAAGACGATACAAACAGATGGGAGGTTTATCATGACGTCTCGTGTAGTAAGTGTCTGTTTCTTTGGGTTCACTGGTAGAAGATGACTGGTTTGTCACCTCGTCGTTATTTCCCTCACCCTCTTCTCAAAACCCACACCTTTAAAAAAAATCATTTGAGCCAGTTTTGGCTTTCCCATTTGGTCGGCATCTTTATGAAACCGATGGAAACAGAAACAAACCTTAGGTGCATATGAAAGATCTCATTAACAGTCTAAAGTGCTACCTTCATTTTCTTCCCTCGATAATTCACAGCACTGTTCTCAAAGGCCTGGAGGGATGAACTCAAAGAACTTGCTGCTAACGTTAGACTGTCTCCTCAAACCCAGAAAGGACAAAACGAGGTATTCATGAAGCACCGTGCGTTGAGATCTGAACGGTTTGTTGGAACAAACCTTTTGGCTTCAAAATTCAAATCAACCTGAATAAATTTTCTCCTCTCTCATATATGTAAATATACACCTACTCAGCTAAAAGAAATTTATATGAAGAAGTGGATTTACGTAGCATATACAAGGACTCACATGTTGGAGAAATGATAAAACCCACTGATGTTGGCTTTTTGCTATACATTGTCGTAATTGTTCACAATTTATCAATATGCTGGCTTTGTTTTGAATGTCCAGTTAGCATGCTAATATTATTGAAAAAGTCTGTCGGATAATGGACGAAACGTCTCAGAAAACAAGAAGAAACTCTCCTGATGACCTGACTGAACATTGTTGGATTTTATACTTGGATTATTGAGCATGAACTTTGGTGTTTTGAACCACTTTGACATGGCTGTCTCAGAGGAGTTGATGAGGGAGAGGGCGGGCCCCAGAGGCCATCTTAGCACCAGTAAACTGGTTTTGTTCAACTATGGAATATGCTGTTTGTGGAGAATCAGCTTGGTTTTGATGGCTCCTCAGAATGAAGAAGTTTGTTGGATGACGGATGACACGTCTCCGAAAAAAAAGGAAACCGTCCAGATGATCTGACTGAACATTGTTGGATTTTATACCTGGATTATCGAGTATGAACTTTGATGCATGCTAATATTAGCATTTGGTTCAAATCCACACAGAGCAGCTAGGACTATTTCAATGTTCAAGGTTCTTCATTGTCATTCGCATCACTTAAGGTACATGAGGTGGAATGAAATTGTGTACTCAAGGTCCCAGTTACAGTTATCATACTTCAAAAATTGTATTGGCACGCCAAGAAAGTTACTATTTGATGTATGTCCACAGCTGGAGATCTATCATTTTGATTTGAGCTGTCAAATGTATAAATACTGAGCTAAGATTTGGTGTGGTAATAGCTGAGAGACAGTCACAAACATTTTGAGCTGTTGCACATTTTTTGTGGTCTCGCAATATTTCCCTAGATTGCTACATGACTTCAATTACAGGGTTTGATCATAATTGCCATGATTCAATTCTATTTTATTATAGGACACTTTGGTTGAAATCTTTGGCACAATTACGTCAAGAAATGCTAGTCCTTAATTAGTTATTTATTTTTGCTCCTGCCTTATTTCTGTTACGACTCGAGGAACCCAAAGTGGTACAAGACAAGACTCGGGAATGCAAAAGAACAGTGTTTATTATGTACAGTGCAGATAATAATACAGTAGATCTGCTAGAGCCCTGAGGAGGAAGGAAAGGGTCAGATGGTTCTGGCAGAGGTAGTTTGAATGTAGATGTTAATCCGGTTGGTCTTTTTCTTACAGGTTTGTTCGTGGCTGGAAGGCACAGGACCTGATCCAAACTGGGCTCCAGAGATGGATGTAAAGCAGGCGAGTGGCTGGAAGGCAAGACACGAGGATCCAGGGCAGGACCGAAGGGGAACCGAGGCGAGGCAGGATCCGAGAAGGCAGGGTACTATAAGCACAAAAACAGGTTTGAGTATCTCTTGGAAGAAATGCAAGCACAGGCCAGAGACATAGAGTACCATGAATGGCTAATGCTTCAGCGACGAGTAGCATCAACTGCAGCCTTTTGTAGAGCAGGACCTCATCAAGTAGATGGCTGTCAGCTGGTGGTGATTAGCGACCATCTTGAAGAGGGCAGCTGCAGCAGATGGTAATCTCACAATTTCATAAAATGTAATGATTTAAATCCAAGATTCAACTGGAGGGGGAGCTTTGTTGAGGTTCTCCTTAGGAGTGACAGGGATGGATAAGATTAGGAATGAGATCATCAGAGGTACAGCACAGGTTGAACAACTGGGAGATCAAGTTAGAGAGGCCAGACTGAGATGGCTTGGACATGTTCAGAGGAGGGACAGTGGGTATATTGGTAGAAGGATGTTAGAAATGCAGGCAGCACGGTGGCGCAACTTGTAGAGCTGCTGCCTCTCAGCGAGCAGGTCCTTGGTTCAAACCCCGGTCCAGGGGCCTTCTGGGTGGAGTTTGCATGTTCTCTCCGTGCATGCGTGGGTTTTCTCCGGGTACTCCAGTTTCCTCCCACAGACCAAAAACATGCATGTTAGGCTAATTGGTAACTCTCAATTGTCCCTAGGTGTGAGTGGGAGAGTGAATGGTTGTTTGTCTCGTTTGACTCTATGTGTCCCTGTGATGGACTTGCGACCTGTCCAGGGTGTACCCCGCCCCTCGCACAGTGATTGCTGGACATGGGCACCAGCAACCCCCGTGACCCAAAATGGAATAAGCGGGTAAAGATAATGGATGGATGGATGGATGGATGGATGTTAGAAATGCAGCTGCCAGGAAAAAGACGAGGAGGAAGTCCAAAGAGGAGATATATGGATACAGAGAGAGGACATGGAGGTAGTTGGAGTGAGGACAGAGTGAGATGGAGAAGGGTGGCTCACTGTAGTGACCCCTGATGAGGGAAAAGCCGAAAGAAGAAGAAGAACTGGAAGGGGAGCTTGTTTGATGAAAGATTCAGTATCCAGCTGAAACTGGAAGAATCATCCCATAGTGCTCCACATCCTACCACATCAAGCACCAGCACTGGAAGTATCCCCAGCCTTTCCACGATCAAGAACTCAAGCTGCAATACTGCTCCAATGATCTTGAGTTTACCTGTCGCAATTACTGAGTCCAAATACTGTGACTGATATAAAGAACCTTGTTTTAAAGAAAACCTACAGATCAAAAGCAAAACTCCAACATGTCAGAATTTCTTGGTGGTTATTAGATGGTTGTTCTTCATTTGCTCTGTGGGTGGAAAACACCCTGCAGAGAAACACTGACTGTCACCAGTAATTTGGAGAAAGTCCCTAATAGGATTATTCTGCTGTGGTTTTACAAGCTGCTGTTTTGATGGTTCGTTGCTTTCGTGTTAGGTTTTGGAGCTTCTTTGTGAGATCCTGCAAACAGACTGTCAGCAGTGCAGCAGTCTGCTTGCAGGTCAAAGAAGTAAAAAGCCTATACACGGTAAATTACATGTAGTTTCCAAACTACAAAAAAAAAAAAAAAGGTGATTTTTTTTTTTTTAAATAGAGTTTGCTGAATGAATTGATATAGATCTGGTGATGGGAATGATCAGACAAGCTCAGGAGGATGGTGCCGACCTCCCGGGTCGCAGCAGGCAGAGCTTCCAGAGGTTTCCCGTTTCCCACGCTCCATCAGGCGACCTGCTGCGGAGAAGAATGCAGAACATGGACTGGGTGACGTTGTCCCTTTTAATCTGGATCAATTATTCATTCTGCACACGCTTAAAGTTATTTTTTAAATCTTTTATAACCGCCAAGCAAATACAACCTGCAGCACGGAAAAACCATGTAACTAACAAGCTTCATGCATTATTTGTTGTTTGAACAGCTCTGAACAACTTCTGCTTCATTTCTTTGCTCCCTGGAGTGATTTCAATGTAGATATCTTCCATTTGCTTTCACCGCTGTGTTTTTGAACTGACGGCTCTCCCTCTCTATCTAGAACATATTTCATTTGATTTTAAGCAACACTCTTCTCTTAGCCTCCAAGATGAATTTCTGATTGCACAGGAAGGGGGTCCTGGAGCTTATTAAAATTCTCCGGTCAGCCTTTTCATAGACATTTTCTTTTCTACCCTATAAAATTGACCTTAATGTTTTTTTTTTTTTTTGTGTGGTTTTATAATCATGAATAGATCTATTTCACCAAAGAAGAATACAAGTACTAATTTGCTCTTGATGCAGCTATTAAAATAAAAAAAAGATAAGAAAATGTATGCATTCTCTATATTTCATTTAAAAGTTTAGTCTATAGTGTAGGTTTACATTTTCTGGAAAAGGGTATTTTTGTATTCCTCATATACATTTAACAGATTGTAGACCTGCCATCTTGTTTTATATAGTTTTTGTGTTTTCCTACTTGGAACACGTGGGCTTGTGGTAAGTGGTCTGCTTTTTCAGAAAAGTTCTTTTTGTTTAACCCGTTTTATTTTTTCGGTGAGGATAGGAGGAGCACAGGTCCTTGAAGTCCATGCAGGAGCTCATGAAGAACACCCTTGAAATATTTCTGCGCAACACAAACAGAATAAAAATAAATAAAACAGTTTCAGTCACTATGACAACATGATTTCTTTATTCTAATTATTAGTTCTGTTGTAGGTCCAGTGAGACACGTGTATTCCAGAGCTTATTTGTACTAAAACTGTTTAAAATTACAATTATAGCATTTTCTGCCATATAAGTCGCATCAGTCCAAAAATGTCTAATAAAGTGGAAAAAACATAAATAAGTCACTTCGCCATACAATTCGCATCTATTATGCGTCACCGTTGATGCATTGCGTTTGTTGTGCATCACAGCGGACCACCAGGAAACATGGGTCAGTGTTGTGTCAAAAAACAATTGGCTGCCAAAATGGCAGCCACAGGAGTGCACATGGAAGGACTTTACCAAGAATTTAACAAGATTAACATTTAAAAACAATTATTTGTTTGCTCTACATTATAGTAAAGGTGTGTCTCAGTTGAACTTTTCCTTAATAAATGCACTTCAATGGTCAAATCAGCTGCATTTCAGCTGGGTGTTGCAGCGAAATTAAGCTGATTAGACGTTTGCTCCAGGAGTTCCGGAGCGAGTCGAAGGTGCCTTTGTATGGCAAGCCAAGTGTCTCACTAATAGCCACTTTTACCTATTAATGAGACACTTGGCTTGCCATATTGCTCGAGGGCCGTCTAGCAGCTGAAAATGGTAATGTTTAATAGTTTTCATGTCAGAATGAATGAAATCGTCAGATCTCAGCCAAAAATTGGGTTATTAATATAAATATGGGGACAAAACATAAATTAGTCACTTCGGTGTATAAGTCGCAGGACTTGCAAATTTATACAAAAAGGTGTGACTTGTATAACAAAAAATACAGTGGTGCAAATAAAATGCAGGTTTTGACAAAACTGACAAGTTAGTCTAAGTGGATTCACTTCTAATGTGCATGTTTGTCAACTTAAACCAACTCCTGTCTTCAAACTGTTGTAGCAGTTCATGTTAGCAGTGGCGTGCGGTGAAGTTTGTGACAGGTGAGGCACTGACTGACTCGTCTGGAATCGGATGCTCACATATGAACCCAGAATAGAAGCTTATATTTCAATTTAGCCCTTTTTGTTCTTTTAAAAAGGCATCTAATTATGCTTTAATCAACTCCATACTACTCTTTTTTAAATAAATTAATAAAAAAAACATATTCTCTTATCTTTATTTTAAGATGAATGCGTTTGGAAAAATGATGAGTTTAGAAAAATCCTTAAGTTTTGAGATGTGATCTTCCACCCCCGCCCCTCTGCGCAACAGAACACACAGCGATGTTTCATTGTTCTTATGGGGCAACACTGCCCCCTATCGGTGCGGCACGGTACTTTATGCCTCACCCTGTGTATTTTAACCGTGCACTTATGCCCGATGAGAAAGAAGAAATATGTCACACACATTCATTCAACATATTAGACAGACTGTAGAACATCAGCATGTGTAGCACTAATAGGAAATTATTTTTTTTACAGCTTTTATAACCCCAACTCAAAAATATTTTCTGCTGTTTCCTGCGTAGGAAGAACAAAGAAGGAAACTGGAAAAGTGGAATTGGAAACACGTTCACATGCATTTAATTTCATGATGTAAAGCAATTTCTGCCCAAAAAGTGAGGAATATGACAAAATCTACTTACAAGATAAGTCATGACTGTTCTACAAAAAAAAAAAAAAAAGACAAAAGATCAAAAGCGTGATTCAGATGAAGTCCGAACAAAGAAATGCACAAAGTAAAAGAGAGAAAACATTTGAAGAAGACACACCTGCTCAATATCTTTTTTCACTTTCAGAACAACAAATACATGATTTAAGACATAATAAAAAATGTAACATTCACAGAATCCAATTTCCTTCTTTGATGCTTCCTTTTAACTCAAGGTCCTTGAGGTTTTCCTTTTACACAGTGGACAGCAAATTCAAAGGCTACTCTGACAATATTTTTCACTTTCTTGTTAGATAACATAATATATATAAAAAAAACAAAACAATTTAAAACAAACCGTCTCAGCGTGACTACAACTTTGTGACGTTGTCAATGTTCGACCAACAATCCGTTTCAATAAAGGACAGGAACACACGTGCTTCATTTCCACTAAACGCCCACAAATATCCCATTTCTGATTGGAAAAAGCTGCTCTAAGAGTTTTCTGACAGTCCTGGTGGTTGGAGAGCTCCTCTGCGACGGCCACCCTGTGTTTGGTGCACAAGTTTAATTGGTTTGAACTGGGCCACATGATTCCTATAAGGTTTGTTTATGATTGTTATATTTCTAACGGTAGTTATGTTAGACTATAACTTTGCACTTTGATCCTTTGAATCAGTCCGTAACATGATCTGAAGCCCTCCCTTCAGTCAGCGACGTTCATGTTAAACAACGTTAATGATGATTAGTTTGTTCAGAGCATAAATGACCACATCATGGATAATTATAGATACGGAAAAGCTGGTTTGTGACGACTTTAATCAATACGAGCTATCTGAGGTAGAAAAAAATTGGTGTTTTAGTTTGTTTGATTAAAAAAAAACATTATTTTTCAAACTACCTGTGCATGATTTTTGTTAACAGCTGAATTCAGAGGAAAAATATTATGCGTGTTCAATGTAGTTTTTAAATAATTGAGCTTAGTTTTATTTTTATTGCACCAATTTGCAACAAATAAGAAAACAATAGAGAAAACAAGTTACATTACTAAACAAGATAAGATGATTGTCTTGTGGGCGTCTGTTTCAGTGATGTTCCTGGTCGTCATTCTTTAGGGTGATTGAGGTCAGAGATTGTGTTTTAGTGATGAATATTGTGTTGTATAACGTTGTTTGACATATTGATTTTGTACTATTAGTGCTTAGTGTATATAGTATTCTTTGTTTTGCGTTTTTCTTAGTTCATATCTTAGATCTTATAACTGTTTTTCTTTTATCCTGATGCATGCTCATGTTTTTCTTTTACAATTTATACTTTTGTTGGATGTAACTGGGACCCTGTGTACACAATTGCGTTCCACCATATATGATGTGAATGACAATAAAGAAATCTTGACCTTGACCTTGACTTTGAAAGATCAAGAATCCAAGATGGCCGCAGCACTTCGAAAATAGCTTCCAAAATTACTTCAAATTTCTGATTTTCTAAAGATATAACTCAGATTGATAGTTATTATTTGTGTATTTACTTTTCTGTTGACATTTGTATAACACATTTTTTTCACAACTGTTCAGTATTTTAGTAGATTTCAGGCTATGTTGCCAGAAAATATTAACTTCTTTTTGATGTTTAACTGTTTCTTTTTTCTCGTTGTGCTAAATATTCTAGCTTTATCGATAATTTCTTGCTCATATTGTTGCAGAAAAAAACATCCAGACTTTAAAACTTTCAAATGATTTTTAAAACTGTTGAATGTAATCGTATAGTACAAGCATTTTTATCATAACAAGCAAAAATCTGGCGCTCCGGTGGTGGAAATCACATATGTTTAGTCAGTCAGAAGGAAACTTCTGCAACAAGAGGAGGTTACGTGAGTTTAGCCCACAGCGAATGAAAATTGCTACAAATCTGTGCAGGTTGCTGCCATGGCAACGCATTGCCCATCAGGTTATTGCAAATGGACAGATGATAAGTGGGTTTATCTTCAAAGTAAATGCAAAAATACCAAATTCTTTTTCACATGAAGTCACAGATAAATCCATTTTTTGGCTTGTTTTTTTTTTTTCTTCTGGAAAACCACAGAATATGAATTATTTAACAGGTATTTTGATATTTTTTATTAATGACTCCAATAAAATACAGAATGAGGTCCAGAGAAATTATACTTTTTGTGTGTGTGTGTGTGAGGATCTGTTGCGTAAAAATAATGAAAGTTACACCAAATCAGCTCAAGGTCATCAGGAGCACTCGGCTAATTTTGGTCAAATGTAGCGATTTCTTGGTTGCAAAACACATTTTTTTTAAACTTGTTCTTTCTCATCATTTAAACTGGATAAGGATGAGGGTTTTATGTGATTTTAATTAGTAAAAGGGTGATCATATTTGCAACTTGTTGCTGTACTACTATAACAAAAACTTAAACAATTTTGAAATATATTTTTTCATGTAAGGAGTTTTAAACGCACTTTCAAGGGAATTTAATTATAAAGTAAACTGTGCAATGCATGATTTTATTCACTGTTTACATGTTTATACATGAAAATTAAAGTGGGCTTTTTTTCTTTAGTGTGGCTAAACAGCAAAGCACAATTTCAAAATCAAATGTACAAACCTTGATTGATGAATATACAGTTACAGTATGTACACATTTTTAGTTTTATTCCGTCACTGCATTTCTAAGATCAAATCCTCAGACGTACAGAAAAAAGGTTTATGTTTGTCTAAATATTAAAAATATATATTTTTTTACATGTTCTCTTTCTTCAATGAGAAATAAAATGTAATAAAATAAAATAAAATAAAAACTGTAGGTTCTCGCTGGAAGCTATTTCAAAATTAACTGAAACTGGATAAAAAAAAATCTATAAAGTTCAAAGAAATTGATTTGAATTGTTTTCATAATAATACATTTATAACACTGTTTACCATTGTGTCAGTTTATCGTATTTTTCTTTGTATAAGTCACAGTTTTTTTGCATAATTTATATGCCCTGCAACTTATAGGCTGACGCAACATATTTATGGATTTTTCCCCATATTTATAAACCATTTTTTGTTTGAGATGTGACAGTTTTCATTCATTCTGACTCAAAAAAATAAATAAATTGAGCCATACCACTTTCAGCAACTTAATGGCAGCAGCGTAGTAATGTTGTATGGCATGCTGTTGTATCATGTAATAGGTACAGTGGCTATAATGAAACATTCAAAACAGTTCAAGACAAAAACAATTGGACTTTATTTATTATACTTTACTTTATACTTTAATGTTTTTTTTTTCTTGAACTTGTTTTTTTAATTTACCGTGTCCTGGATGACTGAGAATCTTCACCAGCTTT